TCAAATGTACTCATTATGTTTGATCATGAGACTTGATAATATGAGATGAATTTCAATTGTACTTAAATGAGGGGATACAATCTGCTGAATGTAATATTCAGAGACCATTCTCAATTTGATGGAGTCACCATGACTCAGTTGCTGGCTCTGAACCTTCCTAATTAAGAACTCCAGGTTCAAGGCAAAGCAGATCATTGTGATGTACTTTAAGGCAAGACAATTTTCCCCAGCTATGAGTATAAATCAGCCAGGTTCTAGAAAATTTTCAGCAAGACCTAAATGAAATGCTTAACAGGTTATGGGTTACTGGTAATGGACCAGCATCCATTATAGGGGAAGAAGCCATACTCCTTATTCCTTAATGTTAATGAAACCAGTGGAACCTGTCACAGGTTTCTTCTAAACCCTTCATTTCCATTTTTCTGTAACAAGATGTTGTGTGTTATACAACCTACTTTCAGATCTCTGGATCATGGCAGCAAAGTGGGAGTTTGAAGAAAACAAGAACATTCCTAACTGCAGATCTTTATTACAAAGAGGCTTGAGAGTAAACTCTTCTTCGCAACAGCTATGGCTGGAGGTAAGATGTACCAGAATTATAGTCAGTCATGAAACAGTGGTACCATACAACTTATTACAAAATTATGTCTTGCAGTATTTCAGAATGGAACTTCTTCATGTGGAAAAAGTAAGTCACTTGAGAAAAATTTTCAATTTTTTTAGTTAAAAGATATTTTCAAGAATGTGTAGGGTAGGTCTGAGTATGCTCCTGCCTGGCTTGAACATAGGTAAGCTTGATTTTTTAAGGTAGTATTTTTCTCACACTACATTGATACAGTACATGCACAACATATTTAGGTTTTTGTCAGATTCATAATAGAAGGAAAGTTCTTGGAATGAGCAGAGAAGAAGGGGATGATGCTCAGGTAGGTTAACTCAGATGAGGTTTGCATGATTGAAAAATTTGTCTTCCATTGAGTTGATGAAGCACTGTTGAATTCAATTGTTTCTTTAGACTAACTTGTATATATTACATTACAGTGTCAATACTCTTAATGAGAAACTTGAAAGGTTTTTTAGATGTATGATACTTGATCTGTTTCATTAAGTCTCTTAGCTCTGATTTCCCTAACTTTTAATTCCAGGATGAAGAAGTGACTGCAGAATTTCTTGCCGGAAAAGTTCCTGAAATTGTCTACAAAAAGGCAATAGAGGCTGTACCAGGTAATGTTTGTTATACTATTAAATGGAAGCCACAGTGCCATTGTGCTGTAGATTAAAACATAATCAAAAGTTACTTAGCCAATGTTTTGTAATTACTGTTATTATTAAGCATGTCTATGCAAGCACTTCTAGGTACACAATCGCCTCCTAGTTAGCTCAATGGATAGAGTACTGGACTGTTGCACAGGAGGTTGAGAGTTTGAGCCCGGGCCGAACCAACACTCAAGGTCTTAAAATAATTGAGAAGAATATGGTACCTTTCTATAACATCAAGAAATGGTCAGATATTCTAGTCTTCTTGGATAGGAACGAATAAATGGAGGTCCCATCTCCTGCAGGGTTAGGGGTAGGAGACGTTAATTTCCCATGAATGAGATTACTGTGTGATGGATGTCCTCTCCTGGGGTGGGATGGGTGGGAATATTTATCACGTGCACGTTCTCATGAGCTTTGTTGTAAGCTCTTTAATGTTCAACATGGATAAATATACTTAGTACTTACTTACTTACTTACTTACACCAAGTGTGTTTTGTACATGTATAATGATATACAACTTGATGACACCTTGTTTTTTTTTATTAATATCAATGAAGTTGAAATTGTAAATTGGTCACTGTAAAGAGTTAAAAAGCTGACGTTTTGAGTGTGAGCCCTTCGTCATTTGCTCTGACAAAGGGCTAACGCTTGAAAGTGAGCTTTTTAACTCTTTACGGTGGCCAGTTTACAATTTCAACTTAGTTGATATTAGCAAATTACCTTGTTACCACCACCCATACAGCACCACAGTTTCTGTAATAGAAACTTACCCCCTTATTCCCTTGTTTTTTTTGTCTGTTGCAGATGACATAAACTTCCGAGTATCCTTTATAGAAATTTATCGCCTCTTTGAAAACACAGAACATGGCTGTGATATAATATATGACAGGTATTGTCATTGCTGAGAGTACACATCACTTTTACTGTGGTGATTTGACATGTGGTTTATGAGGGTGATAACGATTACATTGATTAGTATGCATTGGACTTACTCTGATTGGTCAGGAGCATACAGTCAATTTACAACAGTATGTGAAGTTGATTCAACATGATCACCCAGTATCTGCAACAGATATTGGGTTTTCATGTCAAGTTCAAAGTCTGCCTAGTTTCCAAGCCCCTCATCCATGTAGTGTTCCAAACTTTTGCAAACCCAGAGAGAAGAAACCTCTTTTGCAGATTGTTTTAAAAATTGGATAATAATACATTTATTGCATTTGGTTTTTGCATGATATCATGAATTATCAAACCCTCTGTATGTGTTATCTGCCTCAGCCTTCGGTTTCAGACCTCAGCATTGCTAATTAATTTTGTGATATGCATAACCTTATCCGATAATTGCTTATTATTGGGAATACAATATACAATGTGCAGTGTACACTGGTATTGAAGACCCTTACTGGTGATTTCTCAGATTTTATGACAGGGCCTTTCCTTGGAGCAGAAATACAAGAAACTTTTAGCATCAGTACCAAAGGAAACTAAAATTCTCCTATTCTAAAATCTTTTCTTCCAGTAAAGGTACAGATCAAAAATGTTTGAGTATATTTTTAACTTACAGTAACATCAGGTCATGCTTTTATCATTTTAGCTTGATGAAGGATTTTCCTCAGTCTGAGGAGGTGTGGAATTTGAAAGCTCGTCGACCCATTGATGATGCAAAAGCTAAAGTAAAGAAAGGGACAACTGTTATCACAGGTGTTGATATTCAGACATTCGTGTTTTGATCAAGTTTTGAAATGTCCTGTTAATTGAGTAAGTTCACAAATCAATTATAGAAATACAAATACAAATGTACTTGTGATGGGAATTTTTGTGGCTAATTTAAAGGAATTTTTCATAGTCATTTAGAAGTGATGAATTTTGTTCTACATACATGTAAAGTGTTATTACTTATCAGGGCTCAACACTAACTTTTCAACTTACAAGCCAAGTGGCTGGTGACGTCTTAGATGTTATGACAGTTTCAGTTTGTTTACTAGCCAAACTGGCAAATGGAAATCAAAAACCACTAGCCAAAACTGAATTTCTACTAGTCTGTGACTAGTGGGCTACTGTTAGTGTCCAGCCTTGGTTATGTGACAATAACTATAAAGTTGTTATTGTTTTTAGTCATCACTCAATGCAGCATAGATTGAAAAAACTTTATACGATTTTGTATTGGTATATGTGGACTACATTTTACAGAGAGCCAGTGGTCAGAGTTTCTGGTGGAAATGAACAAGTTGTTTTACCAGGCTGTGGAACAAGTCCCAACTGGTGAGCTATGCACTATTAATGATCAATAATTTGCTTGTTTTAAAGCACAGTAGTTTCTCCTTAAAAGCAGGAATTGAACTTTTTTCATAAGGTGTGTGTTCCTCTAATCCTTAATTTATTCTACTGTTATTTGTTTCCTCTTTGGGTTTTATCTTAATTAATTTTGTAGCATGTGGTGAATTAAGAGTTACAGTTATACTATGGCCATGTTTTAGCTGATTTACTTACATGTACAGTGTATCAAATATTTTTCAACCATGTAATTTTGTAATTTGAATTTATCAACAAAGTTGAAATGGTAACTTGGCCACCATTACGATTATAAAAGCAGACGTTTCGAACGTTGGCCCTTCGTCGTAATTTTGTAGTTGTCATTTCTCCTTTTCCAACCAGAAAAAATGTGGGAGTTGTATATCACCACCTGTATGGAGCTTCTAACTGATTCATTTCTTGAACAAGCTAAAGGGGTATGTCACAGCTGTCAGGTTCTTTTTGTTCAAATATTGTAAGTAAAAGCAGCAGGTGTAGGCCACCGCTATAAAGTTCTGTTTGTTCAAATATTGTAAGTTGAAGCAGTGAGTCTTCAACCCTAAAGACCCCTTTTCAATGGAGTGTTGTAAAATCCAAATCCAAAAGTTATCACATGGCTAAGTAGAAGAAAGGAAAATACCTTTAAAAATTAATGAGTGAAAACTCAAAACAAAAACAACCAAAATGCTTCTGTTGTGTGAAAGTGCGGGCAACCAAGTCATAACTAGGGTTACGTGTGCTTTTGAATCTGATTAGTTAAGAGATTGGCACAAGTTTTCTGATCCAATCACAAAGTGAAGGAAAGAAAACCCAATGCAATTCTGGCTCACTTTAATGCTCAATTGCATATTGCTCTTTGTATTAGCACCAATAGTCTTTCTGAATACTTTTTTTCTTCAGCAACAAGAGCGAAATGTTTTGCACTTATTTTCTGAGGCTGAGAAAGCAAAATGTTTGAGTGAGGATCTCTATAAAACATGGGTGAGTCCTACAATTTTCCAGTGAGTTTATTTCAATCAGAAAGAATATTCAATGAATGTGGGCATTTATTACTCTGTTGCTGTTTCCCTAACAGCACATTTTTCTTGGAAGAATAATTTCACACTAAACACAAGTGAAAAGACCATGAATTGAAGAAACTTACTATAATTACTATTTTTCTTTTAACTTGAAGCTGGGAAAGCTATGTACTTTTTAATTATTTCACTATTTTGGGAAATAAAATAGTTTGCATTTCAATTATCATTTTTCTATGAGAACTGGAGGGTTTCTTCCTTAGTAAACTCACCCAATTGTCCATTGCATACTTGTCAGCCTTTCAAAATTGCCGTAGAACATATACAGGCATGCTTACATGTACATGAGGTATTCTACTTGCTAGTGAAGTTCCCTGCAGGCTAATCAAAATTCTGGGTGAATGACTTTTCTGAAATTGAAATTGATACAGTTTACATTTAACTTTCACACAATACAGGTTGACCTTCTGCTTCAAACAGATCAGCCAAAGAAGGCTTTGTTGGTTTGTAAAAAGGGAACAAAACAATTTGAAACATCAGTGAGTTTATGGAGCGAGCACTTGAGACTTAAAGTGCTGAACAAGGGTAAGATTATTTGAGTCGGTTACTCAATACAATGAAGTTTTCCTGTAGGTAGGTAGGTAGGTAGGTAAATTTATTTCATTTCGGGATGTACAATGAGCCAGTGACTCGTACTAAATACATTCCAATATATAAAATTCTACATCTACAGTTAACCAAAAATATACAGATACTATGTATATTAATATAACGAGAATGTAAATTACTTAATGTAATATACTTCCTAAGAAAAGAATACATTAATGCGGTGACATGGTTTCTAGTAACCAGTAAAGTATTATTAGACAGTTAACAGTTGTAAGTCGTGTGAGGTTACCATTTAGTACATTGTGAAGTTCTCAAAAGTTAAGCACCATTTTGTGGGTTCAGTTCCGTTTACATTGCCAGCACTTTGCTGGTGATGGCCTTCGGTGTACGTTTATAGAAAATATCTGTTTTCTGTTAATTGTCCCACGTCCAGCATTACTTAAAAAGGGGATGAATGATTAAAACTGTGAGTTTGAATCCTGATTTGTTATTCACAGGCAAAATAAAGGACATTCAAAAGGAATTTTCTACTGCTGTGCAGTGCATAAGTTCTAAGGTTAGAAGAGTCAAGTTAACTAGCTCGTAAATTCGTCAATATCAGCATCACTACATGTGTTACGATGGAGTCCACAATTCCCTTAACAGTGGTTGCCATTTAAAAAATGCAAGAGATAATGAATACCGTGGTATGTCGCTTACGATCAAGATAGCAGTTAGTTCATAATCTGTTTACTTTTCCCCCGAGATCATCGTTGGTACAGTGTCCTTGAATCTTCTCGCGCAATTTCTTGTTACAATTTTTTCCTGATGTAGGATTCAATACATCTTTGGAACCTCTGGATTGAGTGGTGCATTAAAAATAATCCAGATGAAGTGGAATCTGTCTTTGAGGTAAGTTTCCCTCATCCTTTCACAGTGGCATACTAATACCTAATATTACTAGACTCACTGTAATGTTGGGATTCAGCTGACTTTTCTGTTGCAGAACTGTATCGACATGTATCAAGAAAAATAAAGGTTTTCATGTTTCTTCCTTTGTTGTTATTTTTTATCACAGCTGTCATTGCAATCCTGTGTTGACGTACAAATCCAAATGAAAAACAAATATGTTGAGTGGACCTCGAGTAAAAAGGGGATCAAGAAAGCGAGAAAACTTTACAAAAGGTTAAATAATGATTTATACGCATGTACTGTACTCTACATATAAGGACGACCAACAATTCTGCGTTGTGTTGCACCTCTAAATCGATTTTCTTGTACACTGCAGGTCCTAATTTCTGAGGAACGCCCCCTTCTCTTCATGTTTAAATTCTTCTTAGTAAAAAAGCCTGGATATCTACCCGTATTTCTGGGCTGTACCGTCACAAACTTCTTAGCATTTAGTTTGATCTTCTCTCCCTTATCCTTCAGACTGATTGAAGAGCGACCTTATACAATTTCTTTCTTTCGAAAGTGTATCGACTTGGAGTTAATGCAGGTAACCAATGTTAGGTCAATACGGTCAAATAACATCTGTGTAATGGTCTTTCATGCAGAGCGAGTTGAATTAACCTGGTGATCTTGAAAAAATGTCGTGAAATGGATGATGTTTGCTTGACTAGTGAAAAAACACCAACCGAACACTGTCTGAGAAAGCGCCTGGCTTGGTCAAACTGAATCATTTTAGATCCCTTTTAGTCGTCAAACACTTACCGTAAATCCTCTAATAAGCCCCCCCCCCGGGGGCTTATTTATTTCAGCTACTTTGGAGGGGTGGCTTATTCAGAGGGAGGGGGGTGTGCTTAAGAGAAGGAGGGCTTATTGATTTAGCCCGATTTTCACTACTAGGATACAATAGGATATAATGTACCATATTTATTCAAAAATTGTTCTCCTTTTACATTTTTTCCTTTACCAAATTAGCAGAGTCAAAAACCTTAATAAAGTCTGATGAGTTGTATGATTTGTCATAATCATCTTGTAAATCAGTAAAACAGAAACACAACAAAACGGCAAATTTAAGTCAAATGAACAACAATAATTAAATGTTTCATCGTACTAGCATCGCTCTGCCAACATGACATCAATCAATCAATCGCCATAATCAATTTCAATGACAAACTAAAATTACAGTACTTGAATAAATTTATCATACTTACTGACATGAAGTGTTATTTTGATTTTTTCTGTCTTTTGAGGGGGAGGGGTGGGAGGCTTAATAAATTTCTTCCTCTAAAGAGGAGGAGCTTGTTAGAGGGGGGTGGCTTATTAGAAAGGGGGGGGGGCTTAAAAGCGGATTTATGGTAGTGACGGTTTTATGAATGAAGGCTAATCGTCATTTAGAAAAGCCTTCTCTTAAACCATCTTTAGTCAAACGTAGTTTTAGCAACATGGAACCCCTCTTTGTTAAGAGGACCATTGATCACGCCTTGAAAAGAGAAAAAAACTACACTTTCAATTCGAGTAGGGCATGTAAAAGTGATGGTATTGACGGGATGGTCGTATGGTGGCGCTCCACTATTTAAACTTATGTTAGTTAAACGTTGACTCGATGCTAATAGGAGACAACTTGCATCACTAAGGTGCTGAAGTATTTTTGGTTCGTGCGCATGTCTGAACATCTTACAGTCTACTGAACTTTTCTATTTTGTTTGCTCAGGTTGAGCCGAGTGCAAAGCGTGTTCGTGATTTGTATGAGGCAGCTGTGGATCATTTTGGTTCTTCCCATCCTGGTAAGTTATAGGCAAACCCGCAGGGATTAGTTATTTAAATATTTTTGTCTTAAACACGAGCGCGAGTTTTTCTTTTGCGGGAACTGCGCGCTCTTGGCCCACGTTGTTTGTTCAGGATCTTATTAGAAACTCACAAACGTCAGATGTCAGAAAAAGGACAGGGGTACATCAAACAAGCGCAGTAACTGATATTTTCACAACTGAGGTAGATTGTGGTGGTGAGGTTGGAGTTTCAAAAGTGTGTGCTGCACACAAGCAGGAAACCATGAAGTGATGTTCTTTCGACAGAAAAAACATGGAGCCGTTGTTAGTGCAGCATTTCATTTTTGTCAAAGCACGTTTTGACTTCCGTTGCCGATGAACATTTTTGGTCGATCTAATTATTTTGAGTGTGCATCGATTTGCCTGTGTCTGCTAGAAATATCCTTTGTCGACGAATACTTTCGTCACTGTTTTGTTTCTCTGGTGTGCCGGCCTTCAGGTGCCTAGACAGTTGTCTCCTTTGTTCGTAGTTGTGGTTTAGTTGTGATGCGCTCACAGCTTGCATTGTCTGTTTAAAGGCGGCGCACAGGGCTTCGGCTTTTCTCTGCTTCGTCTCGTCAGTGTAGAGAGGGACAAGTGTCTGCTGATTAAGGGAAAGAGCCATACCTTTTTGTTTCGTTTATATGCAATCTCTCTTTTGACCCTGTTGAAGTAATGGCTCTCAGCGCAGCGAAGCTTTCAATGAGATATTATTTCAATGCAATTCGGCATTCTAGAAAGATCTTACATTCCTGGTCGGTTTAAGCTTTGAAATGGGATCTATATGGTGTAATTGTATAATGCATGTGCCGGCCGGCAAGCTCTATATTTGGCTTGCTGTCCAGTCTCTGCATGCATGCAACGCGCCAATATGTCTAATCCACTGAAATGTTTCAGTGAAAGAAAAGATTTCGTTTCATAGTCTTTGCATAGTGGAAACGAGGTAAGCGTTCTCTCATTCATTCATTCAGCTTTTTATCGAAGTGTAGATGTTGAAGGAACCTTGGAACGTTTAAAAATACAAGTTGATAAAAATGTTTGATGAATTTTGAAATCCACATAGAGAATTATATGTAATTTATTTGATTTCAAAGCCTCTTCTGCTTAATTTCGAGTGAAACGTAGTCGTCCTCCATAGTAATTACATTTATTTTTGTAATAAAAAATTATTCGTAATCGTACAAAGGGAATTGATTATACTATAGTTTCATTCGCAATTGTCAAGCGAGTTGACAGTCAAGACCTGAGCATAATGTAAATTTGACTAGTTGTCATAACGAAAATACATGTAAGGTCTTCGTTCGTATGTTGTGAAACCCGAGATATAGCGAGAGAAAGTATGAGTGCAGGGAACTAGTCTGAATTTCAGCCGTCTCTTCCCTTAACCCCAAGGGGTAAAGGGAAGAGACGGCTGAAAGTCAGACTAGAAGGGAACTAGATTTCTATCCATAATAATCTGTGTCGGACCAAGTCAATAGATTAGATGCAAGCTACTTCACATTTGGGGCTAGCTTTTGGCAATAAGAAAACCTCATGCAGCGGGAGAATTGCAGACGAATCCAAAGCACAAACGTTTTGAGAGCTGAAGCGGTGTAAGTTAATCTTTCCATCTTGTCACAATCAATTTGCAAGGAACCCAACAAGTAATCTTATGACTAATTCAGAATCCAATCTTTTTGTCTCATCACACGAGAGCTCTACTTAACTGATTGTGTGTAATTTACACGTATTTTACACCCGCTTGCGCGCATTTTTAATACACGTATTTGCATAAAGTGACACACAGTGTGTGTGTTTTGTTTTTTAGAGCGTGCAATACTGCAATACACGTGAGCGGTTCCGTAACTTATGATCCCGAGGTTTTATAACGTTTTAACGCTGTGAAATGTTGAGCTTAGGTAGAAAGTACGGCATTGTGGGGTCATCCTTGGTGTTAAAACCTGATGAGGTTTTCTTTGTTTCATGAGGTATTGTTTTGCTGTACGCTATTGTTTATAATGTTTTGTTGTCTTTGTTTTACGTCACTCATGAGCTTCACAGGTTTTTACAGCGGGGATGTGCCGCATTGTGGCTTTTTCATCGTCCACCAGTCTAAAGTTCACAAGGTTTTACAATAGAGAGATCGAATACTGCTTATGCTGTATTAGACGTCTGTAGCTCTGTCTCTTTTGCTACGGATGTTGGACTAGTTTTTTTTTTATTGTTATTATTGTTTAATCTGATTATCACTGAGCGGTTTCAAGTTCAATAAGGTTCGCGATGTGAATTGTGAACCTGAAGATCATCTCATCTGATAAATCGAGAGAGACTGGGAAAAGCTCGGAAAATGGCCGATAGACCATGGTAGCACCACAAGCTACTTTTTGGCACTATCCCTATTTCTACGGCTTTTCATCCTCTGTTTAAATCCGGTTATCTGTCATAAGTCTTTGATGATCTTTCAAAGCTCCTTGTCGTGTAAACCGCCAAACGTCGCTTCATTTAATGACAAACTTCCTCCAAGTCAACATTGGAAGTCAGGAAATCAATGGTAACATGAATTATCACTATCTGAAACGGCTCTAATATATCGTGGAATAAGTGCTAATACGAATGAATGAATGAGCTTTAATAATTACTCCTGTACAGGCTTTTCAGCAACTATTTACAATGGTAGACAATTTTACAATCACAAATGAACAACTTAAAATAGGGAAATCAAAGTGAAATATATATATATATATATATATAACCAAAATAGCGGAATGAGATCATCATCTACTAAAAAGTGCTCAATAGCAGGGCTAGAGCTATGGATAATTATACCTCAAGAATTAGGTTACTTGAACTTTTACTGCAACTCTGAGTTTCATGCCTCTTGCGAAGCAATCGTCAGGCAACTGCCAGAAATAACCGTTGCACTCTAACTAGGATGAGTCATTGCTCTGCAATTGCGCATGCTCGCTAGTGTACTCTAGTTTGAGCACTCTGGCATGGCTTAGACGATACCACAAAGGTTGGATCGTTTGGGGTGACCATATTGGTTCTCCTCCATCCTAGCATTAGCACTGCACTGATGAGGCCCAGAAGGCCGAAACAGTACTGTCTGCAGTTAGTTATATATATATATATATATATATATATATATATATATATATATAATTCACTTAATTCTGATTAGCTGACGTTGGCTGAAACTAAATGAAATAACAAACATGTTTCAGTGACTTTACTGAAGGCAAGTTCACTAGGTCACTACTCAGGGAATTTAATAGTGAAACTGCTCCATAGGCAAAGGTTCGTTGACCGTTCGCGGACTTATAAAAAGGGATCTGAAGTTTGTTGCTATGGCGCGTGGCTGGATCATGTGTGGTGGTGCGTTTTTGTAACTTGTTACGTAAGTAGTTTTTTTGCGTCGCTATTTCAGAAGACTGTTTTATTTTATCAAAATTTCAGCAGTTACGGCTTTGGGCCATTTATGTGATGGATTAAAATGAAGAAAAATAATGAAAGTACTCGTTAAAATGAACCTCCCTCCCAGTGGGATTTTCCAGAGTTCTATACGAATGAATTAAAAACAAGCATTTGGATATTTATAAATGGCTTTTGAAAAGTCCTATCGGAATGGAAGCTGACCAGTATGAAGCATTTAACGTGCGGTCGAAAACGTTTTCTTGTTAAGACCGTCAACAGACCAAAGCAGCATCAGATAAACAGTCTCGGAGCCATGTAGCCTTACAGATTTCCTTTTCAGCAAAGCGGATTAACTTTGAACGCTTAAATTGTTATAACATGATTTAGTCATTTTAATATGAAAAAATAACAAGTTTTTATCCAATTGAAATCTTCACTCAAGTATGTTGGTGTTCGTAAAATTCACTTTGGTTCTTAATTTAATCCAAGTTGCTCGTCCGGTTTTCTTTTATGTAATATTGAGGAAGAGTCAGACGTCAACTTAAAAGAAATTGCAGGAAGTTACTTCAAGCAACTTTTCAGGGCGTGTGCATGTCAAGAAATTTATATCTTATGTTAAGTACGAGCTGACAAACTGTTTGGCAAACAAATTTTTCACTCATCTTCAGCTGCACTTTTTACTGCTTCGAGTTTGCACGAAACGGTTTTTTACAAAAAATGATTCAGTAACGCGTAATAGTTTCAAAAGTGAACCGAAACTTGAGAATGAAGAGCAAGACGAGTATTTCGAGATTGGAGTAATATTGTTGTGTAGTTTCCTTTTATTTCAAAATATGTAATTCTTCTTCTTGAAACGACACAAAGTATGGCGACCTAGTTCCTAAATCGGAAGTGGCTGGGACTGGAACCTTTTTACGGGGCCCAACGTGTCCATCAAAACTGTATTAAAATTCTCGAACGTGGTTGGCTGATTTAGGCACCAACTGGACAGTGTAGGCACAGTGCTTGTAATAGGACAGTTTGAGAGCCAGAGTGTTTTGATGTTTGTCATACATGTGTTTTTTTTAGCCTGATGGGTTTGTATTTTTCGTAGTAAGAGGTTAACAGTTATGTTTTTTTTTTTCTATGACTACGCTTCACTGATGGGTATCTTGTGTCTCAAATTTGTCATATTTGTGATTAATTGGTAGTAAGACATTGTTCCGACCAAATCTGTCTGTAGTTGTACTCTTGATTGATAAAATCGGGCTGCCGCTTCGCGGTCTTAACATTTTATAAACCACTGAATTGATTACCTCGGTCCTATTACAACGTGTGTTTCTTATTTTCTCAGAGCTGTGGTTGGATTATATTCGCCTGGAACTCCTACACCCCGGTGGAAAGCCAGACAATGTAGGACAGCTGTACTGGCGAGCCACCAAGACACTCGGCGGTAAATTCACGGAGGAATTTGTTGGACTGTACTCGTTGCTGCAGGCGGGGCGAGTTTAAATCCATATCAAGATGTTTGTTTGTACTTTACACATTCGGAATATTTTAGGATTGCAGGGATGGACTTTAGTCTCTTTCCCTTGAGTAGCATCGGAGTAGAAGTGTTGAAGGTTTTGGCCCTTTAAGAGATCAAAGATGATCGATATTTCGTGGGAGAAAACCGGAAATGTTCTTCCAGAAAATAATATGATAGAAAACGTTTATAATAAAAATTAAATTATGGAGTAATTTTATTTGTATAGTTGTGAAGTCTTCGATAATAGCCATCGCGGCTTTTCTACTCAGACACGGTTTGGTTTATCAGGTGAATTCCAGTTTCTAACTGTTCAAGGAGCAAGGGCTTGCCATTTTAAGTCACTTTTTGACACTTAATTTTATTTGAAACTTGAAGGAGACAATTAAAATTTTTTTTCGTTAAGATAGAAAAACACAAACGAGGTAATTACAAACCAAGAGGTAACAAAAAAAGGAAAAGTTCGAGAAGATTGACATGAATTGCTAATGACGATCTTGAAGATTTCAGCCCAAGAGCCTAAAAATGGAGAAATCTTGACGGAGCTACCATAACGTAAAACTGAAACAAGGATGGCGGTTCGAGCTTTTGGGAAACTGTTTTAAGAATGGCATTTGGCCGTGGATATTCCACGGGGTGGCTCCTCTTGTGCACTGCTTCCAGGTCGAATTGGAATGTAGAATGTTCTGTTTTGATTCTATTTTCCCGATTCTTCTTGAATCCGTTTCAATCATTCTCGTCCTCCAGTATCCTGGTTCCTCTCGTGTCTTAGAATACTACATCTGTTACTCAGCATCTCCAAGTAATTAACCAATGCATTGATTAAAGTAATTAACAAGTATTACCGAGAATCAGTGGTTGAACGTCTAGGACTGTTAGCCGTCCTTAAGCTGTTCAGGTTTCATTCGTGGCATAGAAGGTTCTTTTTAACTAAAAATTGCAAATGATCTACTGTTTCTCTGTTCGTATTTCGCTGAGTAAAACCCATAAATCTAAAACCGTAGAATCATGATTGTAGCTAGTGTCAAACGTTTTAAGATATTCCGTGACCGCCGAAGTACCTTTTTAATTGGATATTGTGAATTTTTTCCGCCGCTTCTCCTCTAATCAAGGTTCTAGCGATTAGGTTAACTGGTTAAAACTCATCCTTTCATTGGGATCAGTACATGAGAAGGAACAACCAATACATTAAGGTACCTCTTACACGCACGCTCTCCGAGAAAGCCGAATTGCTAAAGCTGTCTTTTGAAAATCATGTATTACATGGCATGGATTACTAAGTTTAGCCCATTGAAAAGGACTAAACTGTAAAATGACTGAAAGAAATCGAACATCTAACTATCCTTTTCCCCGCAAGTCGGCTTTTAGTGGTAAAGACGACGGATGAATTAGCTTCTACTCCAAGGTGTCTTCAGAAATAATGCGAGGATGCTCTTCTCGTGCACGAATCTAATTTATCTGGAGAACATTTCAGACAGCTCTGAAGTGTCTGAAGTTTGTCAGAAGTTTGGTGACTTTTGCCTCCAGGAGACAAACGAGTTAATTGAATGTGCTGAACAATTTTTCTGATGCAGACAAAATATTATCACAAATCATCTGTGATTCATTAGGATGCGGATGTCTTTAGTCTGGTTCGAATTCCGGCAAGTCACGAAAAAGACTGAACTCTTTAATGGACTTTGCTTGACCTCTCTTCAAGTGTCTATGTAGACATGATCTATGGCGAGAAGCAGTTGTACATTAAATTGTTTCACGCGATTAGTCTGAACTCTCAGCCACCACAGTCAGAAGCTCCAGTCTTCATTTAAGCACCGTGGTTGAAATATCCAATATTGTAAAGCGAGGTTAATATCTCTAGAATGGTTATCTGTCATTCCGCAAGATCCTCCTGGTCTGGCAGGTAAATAGATTTTCATCGCTCCGCAAAAATTTATCGCCAGTCGAGCAGGATAAGAAAATAAAATAATGAATAACCTAATTTACTTTTGGTTAACTAATTCTTTAACTCTGGTGTTATAAGAAAAACCGTGGACTCTTTCCGTATTATATAATTCACTCTCTAGTTTGAAATATTTTATTCTTTTTTCCTGAATCAAGTATTCGTTATAGAATACATCTAAACTAAGTAATCGCAAAGATAGTTTTTCATGAGTAAAACTCCAAATTTTTACCATTTTTGTTGGGTAGGAATCTCTGTTTTGTCCACCAGTAAACTTGATCATTGCGAGTTGTCATTCATTAAAGCAACTTCATTTAACTTCTTTGCCAATTTAACCGTCTGTCTAATGATGTTTGTTAAACAGTACTTGTTTTATCAATGGCGAGACATGTAAGAAAAGAACGTGAAAACATGAAAAGCCCAGCCGTGGACTTCGCTCTCTCTTCTTCTGAAAAAGTTGATGCGAACATTGATCTAACGTGTTGAGAGTTCACCATCTCATCATGCTCATTAAACATGGAAGTGTCAGTGCAAAGTATAAATGATCTCCGATGAGAAACGTGAAAAAACTCTTGAGAATTTTCAAAATCCTGTGAAACTCCTTTTAGTAGGACTAAAACAACATTTTGTAGTGAAAACTGGTAAATCTGTTGTGATTTGGTACTCAGTGACACAGGAGGTCATTCCCTTCTCATCTACAACATTATCGTTGTCCAAACCTAGCGACTGAGGTGATGATGTTCAATCACGGTGATGTTCTCTCAAGACTGGTTACTATGAACGGGGTGAGATTCACAGATGGCCATATTTTGTGCTTGTCAGTGCTTTGGACTTCGTAACTTATTTTGGTTTTGTAATATAATTGGGCCTTACTCAGTCGCCTTCAGTCCAAACAAAGTTTTACACCAAGGTAAACACTGTTTTCGTTGTTTTTATTCCAATCGTTATTCCACTTAAGAAAGTCCTTCATATAACACCAGTACACGCATCATTTTCTTTCAGTGAGTGAGTGGCGTAGATTGTTCTTTAACTTCAGTTGACGCTCTGGTGTTTTAAGTCATTCTTTATCAATGGCTGTTTGGTTTTGATAGCTTGTAATGCTTGATTAGTCGTTGGAATGATCGGATAACTTGTAAGATAATCGTCTGTCTGACTGTCTGGCAAGTAAGACGATTTTGAAAATATGTCAGGTTAAAAGCAATCTTTTTTAGCCATTTTACTGTATTATTCAAACAGTGTCGGTTCCACACTCGTCCACGTTTTGGCGGGAAAAACTCAGACCATACGCCGTCCGAAGACTTATATTTGGCGGGAAACCAAGCGGCTTTGACTCTCTGTCATCGTTCTTCGAGAAAAAGAATCATTAATTCCGATAATCCGTTTGTTTCTACTAATTGCCATGAAAGCGATGCTATTTTTACTGCTTAACATGTAAGAATAAATGGGTATTAAAAGAGAGATGTGGCGCTGATCCTTTAATGATATCAAACCTACAATATCTTTGTCCTTACCAATGGAATTCCAAGATGTGTTCTTTAAGTTTTTGCTTTATTTTTGTTTTTGCTAATGATGACATTGCGAAAAGTGTTGAAATATTTTGACAGAATGAAAACATCCAGAGTCCAGGCTTTGGTTGTAATTTTTATTTTTTGGCGAAACTTACAGCTTTCCTGTTCGCCTTCAACGCTAAGCAGATGTAAGTCGTTGGCATACGTGGCGACCGTATTATTTTCTTCGCGTGGGTGAATCATTTGTGTTGTCTTGGTTAGAAGTGACGGATTATTCTTATCTGCCTGGTAGACACAATGCTAGCTTTCATCGTTAAGACCCATGAGGGTTAAACGCATGTTATAATACTGTTACATCGCGGAGCGAAATATGAAACATCGACACTAATATGAACGTGTGAAGTTGTTGGAAATTTCGACACCCGACAAATTAGAATCGCGAATGCACATCATTTAACACTTATTGCTTTGCTTACAGTTGGTGAGATAATGGACTATGATTCGTACAAATGTTCCTTGTAAGGGATGGGAGGTATTTAGTAGCATGGGGCTCACAGTAATCGCATTTTTGTTTAGTTTACTCGACGTCTGCAAATGAATAGGAATATTTACAAAGCATACAGGTGGGACGTAACTATGCCCGGTTTCAGTCATGTGTCTGAAATTTGCCGCGGTCCTCGGCTTTTTAACGTTAATCTTCACAATACAAATACTAAAGCTAAAAAGCGACCATTCATATGTATGAATAATTACTTTAGTTTCGCAGCACCAAAGCAATTTTGTTTCTTAAATACAACTTTAAGAAACTATTGCAGTGTCAAGGGTATTTAACCTCAGGTCGCAATTTGGCCGACGGACTTGTGTAATGAGAGAAAGTGCAGATATTAATTTCTAGTCGCGCGTCGCGCCAAATGTTATTAGTGTCCAGTGTCTTGGCGGTTCGTTTACGGGGAGCACGTAGTAAACATTACTTGACTATAAAAGCACAACAAGCTTAAACTTAAGACATTTCCTTCCCTGAGTATCGACATGAAGACTTCGTGCTTGATATCAATCATTTTAGTTGCGTTGTTACTCAGCGCACCCATTCTCACCTCGTGTTCACATTTCCATAAGTTAAAGCGCAGTCATGGTCTGCCTTTAGAACTACTGGAGAAGACGCAACCAAAAAATTTTTTAATTGGTGGAGTTACCAGGCGTCCACTGAACCCAGAATCAAAAATACAACCAAAACATATTTATGACTGCGATGACGAACCCTTGCAGCCGACAAGGCGTGATTTGAATGAGAGGAGGCTCCGCAAAAAACTCGGAGGCACAATTGATGAGCGTTTTTTGTCAGTTTTCAAGCCCGCCCAGATGTCAGATAGCCCGCAAGTGGAACGAGTTTCATTGCGTGGCGTCACGACCTCAGAAAAAAACTTTCTCAGGCAGGTCATCAGAAACGAGACTGTTCCTTTAATGGGAGGCAAAGTGCCTATCTTTATGGAGAGGTTTCTTATGAAGTGGCTAATTCACAAGTCTGACTGTCCCGTAGAACATACTTGGACAGACCAGGGTATCTGTTATTGGCCACGCTGGATCTCGGTAAGTAGAAACTCTTACGTTAGGTGAAATATTGTTCGTATTTTGAAAGAACAGTTTCAGCTGTTAAGGTCTAAATATGCAATTTGAGCCGGCTCCTGTCTTATTTTAAAAAATTCATTTCTTTCATTAAACGTTTTTACTGAACATTGGTTAGATAAAAAATTCTCTGCGTATGTTGCGGCATTGTTATGAATTGTTCAACCTGTCAACGAAGAACAAATGCTTGAGAATCCTGGATATAGAAATTAGAAGCTTGGCTGTGACCTTGATTCGTAACATGGATATTTTCGAGTGGAGGGCAGGACAGTGCGGTCAGTTTCTCAATTTTCTCATATTAAAGGCATTTCTAATTTCAATCTCCGATTTTCCAGAAAAGAACTACAGGAATTTCTCGTTTAAAATGAAAGAAAATACGAACGAAACATTCCGCGTGTATGACGTGTAGCAACGAAGGAAAACCATCATTGCGTGCTTGGAATCCTGCTGTTATACGCGTGTCGTACAGGATTTGATAGATGATCACACGACAAATTGAAGCTTCAACTCTCGCACACTGATCAGCTTTAAAACTAGTGTAAAAACCAAGGCCATTAATTCATTCACGAACCCAGATACTTGTCGACCCCAGTCAGAGTGGAAAAAAAATTCCTAGTTAATGGACCAAAAAAACCAATCATCACAAGTTATGTTCTGTTTCTTCTATCAAAAAAAAGTAAAATACTTAAAGTAAAACTTGCCCCAGTAGAAAAAGAAAACGAAACGTTTTTTGCCATGGATTTGTCTGGAGAGATTTTCAATGAGTAATTATTGACCTGAAGGCACAAAAAGGAAACAGAGCGAAATAAATCTTTTAATTAAATGCTTTCATCTTTCGGTCTGTCTTGAGTGAATTGATTCGGTCGGAACAGTCAAATGCTTAGTTGATTTAGAGAGTGTTGAAGCGTTTTTACGTCCACTTGCCGTGGTGCTTTCAAGTTAATGTTATGCTTCAAGTGCTCGGGCGCGAAAGCCGTCATGAATAAGTCATTGATTGGCTTATAAGATGGGAAAAATCAAGTTAAATGTCAGGTCAAGTAAACACACTCCCAGAATGAGAAGAGATCAGGGAGTAGAGCTGAAATATAAAACTGATTATATCCATTTCTGGCTCATTGGCAAACTGGGCCTCAAATGCAAAAACTGCACAGCCCAATTAGGGCCAATCAATAAAGGCTGATAGTTTCGAAAGAAACTGTTTGGGGCTGCGTCGGTGGGAGTAACGAAATAATTTGGATATATCAACAAAGTTGAAGTGGTAAATTGGCCACCGTAACGATTACAAAAGCTGACGCGTCGAGCGTTAGCCTTTCGTCGGAGCGACAGTTCTTAATTTTCAGCAGTGGATGTCGATAACATAAATGTATTAAAAGCGGTTCGGTAATAGAGAAAGGGCTAGTCTTTGAAATAACTTCACACGGGAGAATAAGATGAAAACCCGCTAACCGCAAACAGCAACTTAAGGCAGAAAAGGTCAAAGTGAGAAGAGAGCTAATGTCAGATCATGTCTATTGATAGTTTAACCATTGTTATTTTTAAGGTTCTGCATTTAATTATGAAAACTGAAACGAGCTCAAGGTGGCCTTCACATGTGTCTGGTCTAATTTCACGATCATTCTATTTTGTTTTTGCCTCTGGGGCAGATGCGTTGGAAAGTAATGCATACTAGCATATGTTCCGTCGGCGCGTGTCGGGCTGCGTGCCTTTTTCAGTCTTTTCTACCACGGCCTCCTCTTCCGTCCCGGAGGATACTCTTGCATAAATGAGTAACTTTACTCAGCTGAAAGAAAAGCGTGGTGGAAGGGTGCTAGGCCGGAGAACTAACCGTAATGCTTATTTTTGTAATCATTTTACATTTATAAAACAATGTTTATGTATTAAGGGTGACATAACAGCTTCTCGACCTATAAAGGACACGGAGATTAGTTTCGTCAGTTTTATTTTTCGTTTCCCTCAGAATATTCCCCGGACTGTTAACACGCAGCGAGCGGTGGCCGGGAGCCAGTAGCCGAGAACTGGAGGAGAGACCTCTTCATTCCTTACTCTCTTCTCCACTCACCGCTTTTTTTTTTTTTTTTTTTTTCTATTATCACAGCAGCCTTATTGGTGTATTCTACCCATGCTGACTCCTATGTAACGAGTTAGCAAAGACTGTCAACACTTAGAAGATATCTGTAAGGAAGGTTGATTAAACATCTGCGTTGTTCATTTTATACAACTGTGGGTGGCGCGCAAGCCCCTGAAAGCTATTTTATTTCAAATTGAAACAAAACGCCTCATCATGTAGTAAAAGCCAGCATGGGGAAGCGTTACAACGCCTTTTGAAAAAACTCATTTTCTGACGCCAACAAAGTAAAGATTGTCAACCACATTTGTTCTGTTATTGAAGCAAAGGCTTTAAAGTTCAAAGTGAAGATTATTTGCAATAAACCCTTTGAAACACAATAGATATGAATCCGTTTCCTGTTTCAGAAAATGACGTCATTGAGTTAAGATTCCTTGTAAAAATTTTATTTTTATTGAATCCTTATTCTGACTTATGAATCAAAAGATAGTTTAAGTTTAGTTGAGGTTCTAAACGGGAGGAATATCAGAGTTTTTAGGGGAAATTTAAGAATCGTGCTATTTTCCTTGGCAGATGGGTCGCTGCATAGCCAAGCAGTGTTCATGGCCTCAGGGAATGTCGTGCGTGGCGTCTGATCCAATCGACGTGTACCTATTGCGGTGGAACTGCCGTAAAAACCGAAATGGAAGAAAAGGAAAGAAAACTGGGACCCTTACTGCAGACATAACGTGTCGGTGGTTAAAATTTAAGCGTCCTGTAATCAGTGATTGTAAGTGCAAGTGCGACTCAACATCTGCTTGAGCCGATTAAAAATAGTTTTTGGTGCTTGTAAAACGCTAATTCATGGTTCAAAATCAATTTGACAGCTGGCCAAATAACGTGCGTACGAAAGTTTCAACGAAAGCAATGCTTTCTTAACTTGGATCGGTTAAAACCGTCAAGTAATAAATAATAATAATGTCAAAGATAATGATAATAGTTATTAATGAAAACAAACAAACAAACGGAAACCTGATCCATTTCGGTTGGGAGGGGACTTTCTACATGTAACAATTATGTTGCATTCGTATTCATTTCATGTTTTACTTTGAACCCAAAAAGGATTGTTTTGTAAACCGACATATCGATCGCTTAAAATCACAATTATCTAATCCTCTTTAACTGTAGGCTGTCTTTAGTCTTTTTTCCTTTTGTCGGCGTGAGGATTGGTTGGTCGATTCTCACTTATACCTCCAATAAGGGCCAAATTCAGTGTCAAATTGAAACCTAATAGAACCTGTTACTGAGTTAATATATGTGATGATTATTATCGAAATATGGCGTCCAATTTGAATTGCCATTGTTCTCGACTGACTAGCCTCTCACACCTTTAATCCTTTTGTGTTTCCACGTCAAGACGAGGGTAGTAAGTCCAAAACGATGGTAATTCAAATTGGACGCCATATTTCGATTCGGTGAATAGTCGGTCAAAATCATGCGTAGAGCCTGCTAGCGTTTCTTTTTTTTTTTCTAACCATATCATGTAGATAATTATATCTTTAATTTCCAGATTAGTCAGCCACTCCCTGTAGGTAATGAGCTCGGCTGGTATAATGTCGAGTGCCAAGTTCACTGGTAGGCTAAGCAAATAAATTGGGATCAGCTTAGACTTAGCACTGTGTTTGACCCCACGATTATATTTTTGCAGTAAATGGTTTGAACCCGGGGGTAACATGTGAAGGTGTAGTCTGATCGTCCGGGTGAGTGTAGTCCTGAGAAGGACTGTTGTCGGTGGCAGTGACTGACGTTTCGACAACCTGTGCGGAAGTCATCATCAGAGTCAAGTGCTGATGATGACTTCCGCACAGGTTGTCGAAACGTCAGTCACTGCCACCGACAACAGTCCTTCTCAGGACTACACTCACCCGGACGATCAGACTACACCTTCACAGATTATATTTTTGTTAATTTACGATTAGGTACGTCATCATCGAAATGTCTGACATCTTCTTTATTTGTTCGCTTTGATGGAGTTTCTTTGGTAGATGGCTGTTAAACTACCTGTGACCTCCCAAGCGTGAGGGAAAGCAAACGCTTATAGAATTGCAGTTGGAACAGGATGGGGCTATATCTTTTTCTTTTCAAGCGGAACACGCCCTGTCTCGTCCCAGTCTTTTTTCGCTCAAGGCTCCATCTCGGAAGATTAAACGTACTGCACACAGTTTAATCGCTAAGAGTTGAAATATATATCAATTTCCCTTCGAACTAAGTATTACAGAATAAGCAAAAGAATGCCAATTTCAACCTTAAGCGGGGTACGTCAGTGTGCTAAGGGTTGGGTGGGTGGGATATAGATGTATACGTTTGGCTTTCGCTTGGTAAATAAAGGCAAAATATTTTAGCTTAAATGTCTTGATTACGTGTCGCAAAAGGGCGGAAACCGTGCTTATGGGCAAGATCTATTCATAATTCATGGCTGTCGTATCTGTTAGCCTTGCCTTTTCCAAGCATTAGCAAATGCATTGTGCATTATCTCGCAATCCTAAATTTGACCTCTTTTGTGAAAAACCTTAAGAGACAATCTTTTCAAATCTCAGTGAAGAAGATTAGGGCTAAAAAAGGTTGTTCCGCAGATTTAGAAATTAAAGAAGTCAAATGTTTTGACCTGTAGTCCGCCTAAATTAACTCTGTACATCATCATAAATCTGTTCAAAATTGCACCTTCAATGGAGTAGAAATAGGTGATATATTTCATTACGTACACAGAGAGGGCGTAATGAAGCGCAGACGGCCCTCACTCAGGAACACTATCCCAAACCCTCCTCAACTGACTCCTCCTCTCTCAGATAGGCATCGTCGTGTACTGCCCAACAGTGCATTCATATATTTCCTTGAATAGAGAAAAAGGCGGGCCAACCTTTCTTATTGTCCAAGAACAGCACTGGTTATTACTTTTCGTCATGTGCCTTTCAGCCCCCGTCTGTACGTCTATGAAAACTACGTCCCCGCACTGTGTAACAAAACTTGAATCTTACCATATGTTGCAAATGCCTTTCAGTCACAAAGGCCTAAAGAACGTCAAGCCTAATAGAAATATATCAAAAGACACTGGTAAATAACTAATGCACCTTAAATTCTTAATCAACCGAGAAGACTACGGTATATCTGTATTAATTAAAAGGATAGAAGATGCAATCAATCACTTTCATTCAAACCTGCTTTGGGTAGCAAGAGGAGATTCTGAGGAGATTTCATTAAGGTTTAAACAAAGACTAAACCAATTCTTCCAAACCCGAGGAAATATGGCGGACGATCGGTCGGCTCTGGCTGCGAAGGCGTTTAAAGCCTCGGCAAACTACGAAGAAGCCCGACCGACATATTCTGTTGAATCTGTTAGATTTCTTTTGGAAAAACTTAGAATCTCAGAAGAAAAGGAGAAGGAAATGAAAAACCAGCCACTCACTATTCTTGAGTTAGGCTGCGGTACAGGTAAATTCACAAGAGTTCTGATGGAAGTTTTGAAAAACACTGATGCCCGAGTGATAGCCAGTGATCCTCTGGATACTATGCTGGAAGAGTTTCGAAAAATTTTGCCAAACGTCGAAGTGAAACAGATCACTGCAGAGGAGATTGGTAGGCTTAAACATCTTTGAAATTAGAAAATTAGTCTATGGTTTTAAAATGTCTGTTTCTCTGTAGGGAAGGGTCCTTAGAAGCTGTTCTCAGTTATTTTTGGTTAGCTTTGAGTTTTTGATAAAGGAATCCAGACTATTCCTCACATATGAGGAGAAAACCTTTCAGACTTCTGAACAAAAGGTGTTACATGCAGAGAACAATCAGCCAGTACCCTGGCAGAAACTCCCCACAATGGACCCCTAGCCCTGTAGGCAATATTTACATTCTCAATGTTGCAATATTTTATGCTTGAAGTAGGTATCAGCAAAACTCGCATGTTACTTAAGTTTGAGCAGTTTTCAACTGAGTGACAAAAAATCCACGATCAAAGTCATCACAACTGCCAATTAGAACAAAGATTAACATCATCATTAACAAACAAAAATGCAAAGTAAAATCAGGCAAGCTGCCTGAAATGCAGGATATACAAACGTGGAAGACAGGATTGATTTTAGTCTTGTATTTGATTGGTTGAGGTGGTGACAGGAGGTTTCTAGACCAATCTCAGATTGAAGTAAAGCAAAACCAAAGCAATCCCAGATCACTTACAACACTCAATTGAAAGCTGCTTTATAGACCAACTCATTGTGTTTGCATCCAGAAGCACAAATGTAATGTTCTGTTTCCAATATTGATAACTATTTTTTATAAATACTAAAGACAATCTTTGTTACCAAAAAAAGTTGTAGTATATGAATTTTATATTTTCATTGTGTTTAAAAAAAGTTGAAAGAGCATAGAATGTAGAGATCAACTGCAAGTAAAATCAGCTCAGTAAAATGCTATTTCAACCTGTGACACATAAATAACTAAAGGCAACTTTTTTATGTATAATAATGGTTCCAAACAAAAGTTGAATTAAACTTTAGCTGAGTTGGTTTATAAAAGAACAGATGCTATGTTGACATATGTGGTTTCCATCGTGACATTTTTATTCTTGCATGTGCACTACATGCAGTGAAGCTATGACATTTTTAAAATGGGAAAAATGTTGGTACCTCATTAAGAAGTAATCATGAAATAATAATTACTAATTAATTTATATGTTCATTTATTATCCAACTGTACTTCGTAGAGTACAAAGGACGCCCAAAATGAGTACAAATATATCTCGATATTTGTACTGCAGAGAACTGGTCAAACAGGTTTTCTTGCATTGTACAAGCGACAAATTGAATTTAATTCCATTCCGCTTCACATACTTCTGTCATGCACTCCCAGTAAATGAATATCTACAAAATTCACCTGGTAATGAATCTCTCATTAGAGGTTTTGTTGTGTTGTATTGCTTAGTATTTTTACTCGTTGTTTGTATTTTGACTTGCCCTACGGGCTCGTCAAACTACGGCACAACTCGTAAAAATACTCAGTGGTACTACACAACAAAACGTTTAATAAGATATATGTATTTTAATACTATCCTTATCTGTTTATATATTTTATACTTATTGTTTGATACTTCATGTTGTTATGGGTTACTTACCAAGCAGAAGTGAGACATCTAATCACTGCAATCTGAATTAATTAATCAAGCCTTAGTTATATGTTAACTTAAAGAAGATTGTTTAGTATTTATTTTTTTCATTTTTACCCCTTGATGTGCTGATATTTTTGACATTTCAAAGGGTGGATAGGAGGAAATGTTAAGCTGTAGATCTGAGGAAAATATGAAAGTAAGCTTGGAGTTATGTAGAACTGACAGGACTAAAAGTGAGGAAGTATTTAAGGAATATAGGAAGGAAATAAACAAGTGTTGGAATTCTGGAAGTGTGAGTGTGTATTTATAACCATTTAATTTATTCTTGCTATTTATTTGTTCATTCACAAAGCCTTTCCAGACTCAAGCATAGATGTGGTCCTGGCAGCCCATTGTTTCCACTGGTTTGCAAATGAAGAAGCTGTGAGAGAGATATACCGGGTGTTAGCTCCAGGAGGAACTTTGGGGATTATCTGGGCATTACCAGATGAATCAGTACCTTGGCTAAAGGAGATGATGACATTTTTTCGTCCATTAGAAGAAGATTTTAAGTATACTATCTCAAAAGAAACCATGGACAAAGTGTTTGAAGAAGTTGGTAAGCTCTTTACTGTTGAGAAGGAGTCAGGTATGAAGACTTCTTGGTATCTAAGTTATGATGGCTGTTACAAGTATTTTGTATCAAAAGGCATCATACAAAGAGGCACCAATGAAGTGAAACGTCAGCTCAAGACTTGGTTTGATTATGTTATAGGAAAGCATTTCCCTACCAGTGAAGAAAAGGAGTCAATCACTTTTCCTTTAGCTTATTTAATTTGCTGGTGCAAGAAAAAACAATTCTGATGCATGGCTTGAGGTGTTTCGTAGAAGTGCACCCTCCAAATCATACCTGATATGTGATGAAACTCCAAAATAACTTTTATGTCGATGTCAGTTTTTACCATTGTGAGATTGTTTTATCAAATCTCTTCTTGGAAAATTTTAAGAATACAGGTCATAAAATAATAAAATTTAATATACATATGTACATACATACTTACACTTTATTGAGCATCCCTAAAAAGGGCTTTTCAGCATCAATAATAAAAAGAAAATTAACTAGATAAATGAATAAATTAATTACATCACTAATTGATAAAAAAACTATGTAAAAACTATCTACAAGGATAACTAAATGATAACTTATATACAATGATTTTCATCTAACCTAGTTCATGTCACAAGTAAGTTCTTTGATTGAATGTCTCTAAAAAGCTTTAGTAGTTGTTATTTCCCTTAGGTCTTTGCTTAAGCTATTCCATATTTTGACGCCACGATAATAAAAGGCGTGTTGGCCAGCAGTGATTCTACAATGTAGAATATTGAGGCTGGTTCTATATCTTGTCTGCCTGTTATGAATACTAGCTCGAGTTGAAAATTTGTCCGACAAGTAGCTAGGTGACATTCCTTGAAGACATTTATGCATCATAACTGCATCATTGACCAATGTGCATATGCGTAATATGCTGAACATTGGTCGACTTAAGGTAATAAGTACGACAAGTAACAAGGAACAAGTAAAGGAATTACTCAAAAGCAATGCTAAATTATACAAAAGATGTTACTTAAGCAATTCGGCTTGAGATAAAATATCTATTGTTATTAATTATGTTATCATACAAACCGCTGTAAATCGGATAAAAGAGATAGGGACCAATTGTTTTTTCATGTTATTTGCCAAATATTGTAACGGCTCGACTGCAGTGTAACGGCTCGACTGCAGTGCAACGCGAGTAATGACAGACTCAACTCCGTTTCATTTTTCAAGGCAATAGACACTGGTTTTAAGCAAAACCAAAGCACTAAGCTACTTAACAAATCGCCATCAATTTGTTGAAATAAATGGTATTAAATCGAATATACTTGAGGTTAAATACGGAGTCCCTCTTGAAAGGCTCTCTTGTTGGTCCCAGACTCTTTTCCATTTATGTCAATGACTTTTCGGAATCAATTTCTCAAGATGAATTACATCTATATGTTGATTATACAACAGCCTTTATAATCGGAGACTGAACTGACGATGTTGTTGGAAAAATGAATTTGCTGTTTGCTGAGATCTGTGGTTGGTGCGATTCAAATAAATTGACCTTACATAAAGGTAAATCGGAAGTGATCAGTGATTTTGCAGAAGCATAGTCTGGTTGGGCCCTTGCCTCCGTCAAGTGTGTCAACACAATCATTGAATACACCAGCACCATTAAATGCTTGGGTGTGGTTATTGATAACAAACTGCAGTGGAAACAACAAGTGAATAAAGTATCCAAATTGTATGGACACCAGATCCGTAAACTGAAAAGAATGCGACAGCTCCCATCCAAGGTACTGGAGGAAATATACTTTAAGACCATTATCCCGCTAGTTACCTTCTCCATATCAGTATGGGGAAGCTGCTCTTCTGCTACGTTTGTTCAAATTGAAGAATTGCATATAAAAGCTGCTAAAATAGTTCATAAGGTACCAAAGAACATTATGGATTGTGATGTACTACAATGTATGCTGGCAAAACCGTGGACATACAAGTGTAAATTGGCTGTTGAGATGTTCAAAGCGAAAAATATGTTAAGTAGACTTTCCTCGCACGTTCAAATCACGGAGTCACGACGCCGAGGAAAACTGATGGTAATACCTAGAAAGAAATTGGATTTAGGTAGAGACGAGTGTCTTGAAAATTCGTAGGAAGTAGACGGTAGCCTACCGTCTTACTGACATTTCAGGGTATACCAGTTTGTTTTAAAACTCTTTCTCAGTGAGATTGTTTTTAGAAGTGGGAAGAAACCTTTGGAGTAACAAAGGTAGTCTAAGAAAGTCAGCAATGTTAACAAGAATAAAGGGGGTAAGTTTCTTAAGAAACTGTTGTGCTGCGTCGGTGAGGGTAACAAGGTAATTTGGTTATATCAACTAAGTTGAAATTGTAAATTGGCCACCATAAAGAGTTAAAAAGCTGACGTTTCGAGCGTTAGCCCATTCGTCATTCGCTCTGACGAAGGGTTAACGCTCGAAACGTCAGTTTTTAACTCCAATTTACAATTTCAACTTGGTTGATATAACCAAATTACAATGTTAAGAAGAACCTTGGGTAGGTTCGATTTCGAATTCCGCTCTTTTTATGATATCGTTGTACGTTTCCTTCGAGAAAGAAGTGGGATGAGTTCGGGTTCACTTCCCCAGCAGCGGCTTGTTATCGATCACAACCTTCGGTCTGAACTCTCTTAATGACTGTGAAATGTTCAGCAGGCAACCGTGGACGATACTCCTACTCTTGTACGTTGGATCAGCGATGATCTGATCGGCCCAAAATAACGAATATGAAATATAAATATAGAGGCAAGACCGATACAACGTAGGCCGATACTACGTTGTATCGGTCTTGCCTCTACGTTGTATCGGTCTTGCCTCTATATTTATATCTCTTAATGACCCCACAATCCGCGATTTGGAACATCACCAAACTTTAGATACTGGAAATAACGTTCTATTTTTGTGCGGTTACGGGGGTAGAGAAAGTCTTTGGAAGGGTGACGTCATTGAGTCAGAAGATTCTAAAGTTTTGCCGCTCGCTTCTTGGCATAGCAGGATTTTTTCTCATTTCGTCCCCAGTTTCCTCCCGCGCAGGAACTCGGCGCACGTACGCACGTGATCTCAACAATTTACCCATAATATACTGACAACCTCGTTCTCAGGGTCTCTCATTTTTCCGCCCCCTGGAGCGAGGCTCCAGAGGGCGGGAAGATGAGAGACCCTGGGAACGAAGTTGATATACTGACACGGTTATTAAGAAACTTTAAACTCATTTTCCTTTTTGAGCTAGTGTTTATCAATGCTCGTATTAGTGTGGAAGTCACCTTTGCTATTCATAAGCTTGACGGATTGCAGCCCTTTTAAAAAGCCAACACGTGGGTGCTCAATCAAAAGTGATTGACTGTCGGCGCGCGACCGTTGTTTGATCGAAAAAACAAACGACAAGCAAGCGGCTCTTAAAAGTACAGTACAATGTGAAAAAACGGAAATGAGAGCCGCCCTCAGTTTCCGTTTTCAGGCATAGCAACCTTTATCAACTGTTTCTTCAATGCAGTGTGTTTCGTGTGACGTTACTTTGTGTTCGCGGCTTTTGTCTTGCTCACCATACTAAGTGACGGTATTTGTATAGTGTGTTATTGATAGACCACAGGAAGTTCACTGAGGTCGTCTAAGCTGTTACCACTTGGCCATAAAATGCATCTTTGTGCATTAACAAAGAACAAATTCTATTGATTTCCGTTAATGAAACCTAGGCTTGAAAACAGAAATATTTATTTTTCCACCCCCACAATCAGAATCTAGGACAGAAACGCTACATAACTGAAGCATCTGTGAGTGTATGTTTTCGAGTTGTGCTGCATCTATATAGGTCATTTATTTTTGGCTCAGTTCTTCCGACGGTTTACAATGGCCAACAAAAGAACAATGGCGAGTATGAGAACTATTTCGCTAGTTGTTATTAGTGTTCAAATTAAAACTCAGTCAACTGAAAATTCTGGAACAAAGGGAGGTAAACCGTAAGATCAGTTTTTGGCAAAACCTTATTAAGTCTATTATAATTGTTTTCCGTTTTCGTGTTCATTAAGATTTCTAAGGATTATTTTTAGAAGCGCTTCAGAAAAACACACATCATCTACTTGCAAAGAGAAAAACGGCGTAGAGAAAACACCAGGTCAACTATGAGAATGCAAGAAGAGAAAAGTTGGTACAATCTCTAAAACTTGAAACGAGCTTAGCTGGATAAATTCAATTATATTTATAACTTTGTGAAGTAAACAAAACGCGACCAAGGGCACTACAGAACCGTGCTAATGAACATCACGTTTACATGGTTTCTAACATTTCAGCTGATGTCGATGGTGCGATAGTTACACTCTAAACTATAACGTAACTAAATGAGCTTTCAAAAATAAATTAAACAGTTTGTTGTTTTCCTGCTAACATAATGAGTACAGTGCCCTCAATGGGGCGATTCACTCTCTGAGAAAGCTCCGTTTTCTTCTTGATTCGTGACCAATCGCACAAAATTTTTTTACCGTGGTCAATACATCTGAACCGGGTTCAGAACAATAGTGGTTTTTTAAATTGTTGATTTTAGATTTAGTGGCTTAAAATTGGCCGGAAACGGCTCTCTCTATCTTGCTACTGATCTACGCGTGTCGGAGACATTAGTACTTGTTTTCTAGGCGTTGATGGTACAGAGCGCAAAGTAAATTCAGGTGTTCTCTAAAGGATGACAGAATACTGAGGATTGTATCATCGTAGGTATCTATATTAGAGCACTACTGCGCTGTTCCTGAATGTGGGTCGAAAACCTCTTTAAAAGTTCTTATTACAGCTAGGATGATTTTCCAGATTATATAATTAGTTCCTTGACACGGTGTAATTCTAAGCCTATGAATGAGGTGCGAATTTGTTTATTCTGACCTTGGTATTCAGCTAATTCAACAAGGCTGCACGAGACAAGCTTTTTGCTCATCCAAGAAAAGGCCACGCAAAATAGAACTAAACTGTCAACATAAGCTTAGATAACAGTTTTTTTCCAAAGTGGACAAGTTCTAGTTCTGCCTTTTTATGACTAAATTCGTTCCATAAAAGTTAAAAGACTTCAAATCTCTAATTTTACGATCGCATGTGTGATCCTTTACGTCAGGTTGGAACCCTAATTAGACTACTCCTGACTCCCATCAGTCCTCATTTGAGACAGGCGCATTTACATTCGGTGATCACAGGATATTCAAACTTCAACCACATGCAGCTAGTCTCGTTTCGTTGTGCGAATCTGTCCAAGCAATGCCAACGAAGAACTCCGACTTTCGTTGTACTTGAGACCCGGCATTTCATCCCCGAAGGAAAGGAACACGTTGCCTTCTTAGAGCACCTCCCGACGTTAATGAAATGAGGCCAATAGCGCACTCCTAAATCCTTCCACTTCTGTGAAACTGAGCAGTGCGAAACTTGCCACAGCCAAAGTTGTAATTTTTTGCTTGCCTTAGGTCCAAGATATCTTTTCATACCAGGCATTTTAAAGTCAAGATTTTTAATTTCCTCTGGCATGCTTTTGACCAACATTTTACGCATGAAATCTTGCTCTTGTGAAAGTGTGCTATTGCCCTTCTTTTCTAAAACCTCTTCTCTGGTTAATGCAATATATTCAGGAACGTAGTCCTCTCCAAGAGATCTTTTCAGCGACTCGATGTCGTAGTCGCTTTCTATCGGATCGCTAGGATACCGGGTTGGTTCAAGTGGAAATTTTAGTTTCAGCTTGTCTCTGGCGGGCCGTTGATCCACACCAGCCTTGAGGTGCTTCCAGGGAGGCAGCGGCTCTGTTGAAGTCTGCCAAACAGTGCTGAGACAGCAAACCACGAAAAGTGTGGATATACTCTTTAATTTGGAGTGATGCATCTCAGTAAACAGCTCAAGGCGTTTGTTCGTTTGTGTAGGGGTACTCAATCGTGATCCTGACTCTTACGTGGTTCAACCTCAAATGTTGCGTTGATTCATGTCAAGCCAGTTATCTCTACGATAAAGACAATCGAGGGGAAAAAAATAAACAAATACTATCGCAGTGCTACATTTACAAATCACATCCGACTACGATCAAGCAATTATTTATCTTAAGGAGTCAAGATGTCTAGACAAGCATGATAGCGTTAAACTCGGCTGCTTTCCTCTTTACGTTACTACCTTTTTTTTCAATGCACCGTCAGTCCATCCGAGGAAAAATCGCGGTACTATTGGAAATTTCCCACGGATTGTGTGGTTTTTGTAAGGTTTAAAATTATTCATGCTTCATCATGTTTTGTAGCATACACATACGACCAACATCTTGTCACTGTTTAAAGTAGGCTTAGTTCACCTAGAATAGCGAGCGCCCCGATGTCGGCGAGGTTTAATTTGAGTTTAGTCATTCAGTGATGTTTCGATAATCAACTGAACTGGCGAGGCACTGTTGTTTGTATTTGCGAGGAACTGGTTATGTGCTCAAACCAACATTTCTCTTTGGCCTGGCTGCATTTGGTTCTTTCGAGTTTTACAACATATTCAAGCTCAGCAAGAAACAAGGGATTAATTTATCAGATCACAACGGTGGGCGGAGATCTAAAGAACAGCTTCTCACAGGTTCATATCAGTCGAACGAACTATTTTATATGCATGGCTACTCTTATCGTTCACATGTTCTTGACTATTGTTCCTCGAAAATCCATTTAAGCGCTAATACCTCTAATCCTTTTTTATCGCCACTCGTGACATTTATTAAAGAAGATGTTCTCGGTGTGCTTCCGCGATCATGGATGGGATGTATATGTTGTAAGAGACAGTGATTTTCTTGACGAATAAACGTCATTGTATTCCGGTTTGTTTGATGAAATTTACACCATAACTCTTGAGGATAATGAGTTTGAAGCGCCTCCTACAGCTTAATGGTAAACTTGCAGCCACTGTTGCCAATGATTTGATGAGCTGACTGTTTTCCGAGCAAATCATGATCGTTTTAGGTCGTTCTGTTATCCATCATAGAGCGACATAACTTGTCAACGTCCTTTTACTGCGATCCGCCTCATCGATAAAATGCTAATTATACATTAATTGACTAATTTTTAAAAAGCCTCGGATGAATTTCATTCATTAGTGGGGCTATTTCAGTGCAAGGTGAGGATTTAGATTTCAAAAACATTTCGTGTGAAACTAGAGAACACACGAAATCTTCATGGCACGATGTTCAGGAAAAAAAAAAAATTTGAAAAACAGCCTTAATATTAATGTAGTTATGCGATCAACAAATTGTATTTCTCACACTTAAAGCAGAGATCAACCTTGAGTTTGTAACGAAGAAGCATGTTCCAAATATGTTCTTCACTGGATACAGTTTTTAAGAGGTTGGGATTTCTTTTGCGATAAATAAAAACAGACTTTATCGAGTTAATCCCTCTTATTCCCACTTGTAAACCATTGGAACACAGAGATTCGCATGAAACGAGCTATAATGTTTGACGTCCGGTACGTGTAGCACGGGAATTATTCGCTGCACTAGGGTACACCACGGGTTACCACGTCACAGTTTAATTATCACCTTTCCCTACGCCGAGAGTAAAAATCGCCTGCCATGTTCTTTCCTTCCGTTTCAGTTATTGAACTTTCCAGTTGTAATCAAAGTGTGCTTATTAACCTCATTGTGGGTGGCACTCTGTGGATGCAACTTAAATCAATTATGACGTTAAACCACTCTTCAGGCATCACTTAACTTCAATTAAGATGTGTTTATTTTCATTTTATACAATTAAATTTTTCGTTGGCTTTTGAAAGCTTCCCGCTTAAAGGATGTTGAACACGTGCCTTTTGTTGGTATCTCTGAAAAGTGTGATAAAATATAAAGGCTATCAGGCTATCTTTTTTTTTCATCTTCTTTTCTCATTGACGTTACAACTTCCATACTAGAAACCGATGGTAACAGAGAAAAAGAATGGCCAGAGTAAAGCTCCAAATTTGGAATCTCCTCGCTGGAAGCAGTAAGCCATCATGGGTGCTTCAGTAAGGAAATCACGCCTAGAAGTGTCCACGACTTGCTGAACGAAAAAGTGCCTTTCTTTCGGATATTTGGCTGCTTGTAGCTCTTATGGGCTTAATGTGGTAATCGTTTAGAGGGGCGATAACACATCACTTCTGATTCGTCAAACTTCACCGCGAGAGAAGAAAAGCCGTACTGCTATCCGTGAATCTAATCGGTATCTATTCAAGTTCTCTATAGCATTTTTTAAAACGTTTTCTCAGTGATTGTGAAGACCTTCTCGAGCTCCTACACGAGGCAATGGAATTGCGTAAAACGAATCCATAGAAGAAAAAAGTCCACGAATTTAAGAAACGTTCAAATTTTACTTCGGTTTATGAAATTTCTTCCTTAGGCACTGACCGGGCTGCTACCGAGTGAGATCGGTTCGTTTTCATTTGCTGCTTTTGGTCAGAACCATTTTAGCTGAAAGCTGAACCAAGCCCATCGGACTTCTATAATCTACCGGCCTCTTTCTGCAGTTCGTTTTTTTCCTTAACCGGTATTAAGACGTCGAGATATGCGTCACAAAAATATAACACCGAAATTCATATTTCAGAAACCTACTCTTCCATGAACCTTCATTAAGGACTCCAGGCGTGAGAGATGTCACTGCCTAATCCGCTAAGAACGGCAAAGCTGACAAGGTTACGTGGTAACCGACGGACAAGATTTCGGCATCTTTTGCTCGACAACATATGTACGGAAATGACAAGTAATCAATGAATTCAACTTATTGAAGATTACGAAATTCTTGTTATGACATGCTTCTATTAAGTTTACTCTGAGTAAGGATGATAGAATTATCCTTCCAAAAATAGGCAAAGCAGTATAGTTTAATCAGTTCAGTAGGCGTGGTTAATCAAAGACCGCAATTTGTTCGCTAAAACTGAATTACGTTTTCTGTTCTCTTCTCACACTAAAAACATTCTACACGCACCTATCTCTAACCGAAGATCCAGCAGAGGTTAATATAGGGCATTTGGAAGGTTGTCGATCAGTTACTAACGCCCGAGAAACTAGTGATATTTTTACATCATTCGTGACACGGTCGGGCAACATAAAGATCCATTCCAAGGAAAGATTAGTAAAAATCGACTTACGACACGTTTCAAAAGGAGTATTATACTTATCGTAAAACATCCGCGGAATCAACCACACCTATGCAGATTTTGTAACCTTATGAACAAAATTACTTTGTTTCAAAGTCAAATCCGACAAGACTGATTTCAATTTTACTTTAGTTGCCAAGGAGTAGAAAACTTCTCTTTCGTAAATTGCATGCCCCAGCTCTTTCTGGGGTCGCGTCGAGGTACTTAACGTCTGTAAAATATGCTCTCATGGTCAAGGTTCAAGATAGAATATTTCAAAGGTCTACTACCGACGTTCATTACGAGTAAATAGGTTTAAAGCTGCTCACTAGATCAGCGACCAAAGTACTGGAATTATTTTAGGAAGCAGCCATGTACATTACTAGTAATGACTGCATTTATTTAACCAAAAGAAGTTAACCCCTTGGCTTGGCGACGTGATCAGTACCTAACTTCTTCCTAATAGCTTTTTCGCTGTCAGTAATACAGATGCTGAGATTTAACAAAAATTATCAACTGGGGGCTTTTATCTGGATATAACACCAAAATCTCATGTCTAGTCAACAGGGAAATATTTGTTCATTTGTTGTGAGTTTTCTGATCTTGGGGTTAACTCGCTGACATGGAACTACAACAAGTGAGTTACTCTGATATAACAGGGAAGTGCCATAGCCAGTTTACATGTCATTTTCAGTGTAAATCATTGTGCTTACCAAGGCGTAATTTGCTAATTGTTTATCATAAAATTCTAATACAGCAGGCAGATTTTACAAAATAGCGTTTCATCGTCCCAAGGGAGCAACCAAAGTGGAGAGCACCAGCTGTAAACCACCGACTACCGCAGAAGTTTATAACACTCAGGAACAAACTAATAACAAACCTGTGTTTTTCCTTGAAAACTTGGGCAACGAAGGTAACACTGCGAGATTTGAGGCAGTACAGCTTTGTCACATCCGCACTAATCATTGCTCTTCTTACAAGCCGATTTTAAATAAATTATCACATGATTTACATCTTATTAGGATTTTCCGGTTCAACGCAGTCCGCCGACAATTACTACAAAATGTGGGGAAGTTAATTTTAAAATATTGTTTAATCAATTATCTAAGAGATCTAAGTTCCGACCAACCTTCTAACTTCGAAAAATAATGAATGAAATTGACGTTTAAGAGCTAGAGAACCACACCTCTTTTTCCGTCGCAAAAATTCAGTTGAATTAGAAATACAGTGGCCATTTTTAATAGAATTGGATGTTTTCGTAATATAATTACTACAAAAAACAACTAAATGTTAAAAAAATTTGGTAGAAATGTGATTCTTTACCCCACAGGGGTAAAGTTAAGACGCGGACACTTCTAATCCTCTTTGGTAAAAGCTTGTAGCTGTGGTTGCGCTGTTTGAAAGCGTTTCTATCTAACCTTGGACATAAAGTGAGGACTTTCGTGAAGAACACTGAGGTATGGACTTGCAAACTCGGGACCAAGTTGCATAAGCCGACAGATGAAGACCATATGGCCTCTCGTAAGACGATATGAGACACTAAGTATTAAATACAAATACAAGGAAAGTATCTCTAAATACTGAGAATTTAATCTTCGGGTAATTTTGCCGACTCATCGACGCATTATGTTCATCTTCACGCCCCATTAATGTTACCAATATCAAAGTAAAATGTGCTTTTAAAGTGTTTACTATCAGTGAGTTGAAAGGTAAATGCTATTTTTTGACTAAACATTAAATGGATCTCGACTTTCCTCCTAAAACTATGTTTAAAAAAACTGAAGAATTTCCGGTTTTGTGATGGGCAAATGGACGTGCTCATCACACCGTAAGTCCACATTCTTGAAACTTCTTCAAATTAACCTGCAATACAAATCTTGTAATTGCTTACCTACTTGTAGTTTGGAGGATTAGGTAAAAGACTTCTTTCTACAAGTACAACGAAAAGTTTCGTGATGACGAGTTGGAGTTGCCAATTATGGATTCGAGTTGCGATAGCATTGGGTCAAACGTTTGTGTACTGTAAACGGCTCTCTTACGGCCCGCTCCGGACGTGCTAAATGTGATTTATTGATCTGGCCATCTCCGTAAAGGCAATGTTTATTCGGTTCTTCATTACAAAGGTTACGCATGATGTGTTGGCAACTTGTTTTTGTATTGATACCCCGTTTCAAGTGCCTTCCTATTTTTCCATCGAGGCGTATTTCTTTTACTACAAAGTACACAAAAATGTAGATGTATAGGGTAGGACTGAACGGAAATCTAAGCCTACGTGTTTGTGTTGGAATCTGAGCGAGGTCGTGATGAAGGTGTTCAGCAGTTTGTACAGGTGTTGGCTTGTCAGTTAAACGTTTAGCCGATTGACGGAGTTTCCAGCAGATGGCTAGCAGACATCAGGCAATTTTTTAAACTGAAAGTTTTGGTTGCCTACCCAGTCGTTTTGATTTGTGATAACTTAAAGTAGGTGAGGACGTAATGAAATTCAATAAGTCTTCTACTACAGCAATTGAGACGGTATGTAAATACATGCAGTTACTTAGGGGATCAGACTTAAAAAGCTCGACGCCCGTTACATGTTTCGAATTAATTTGAAGACATTCATCTAAAGGTCAATGTTAAGCTTGGCGGCTGGTCCAGCAAAAGGATTTGAGGCTATCCTCATCAATCAAGTGTAGATTTTTTTGTCGTCTTTGTGTAGAGCATTTTTTTTTCCTGATTCCATATTTATAGGTGTAGAAGATGGCATATAATATGAAAATTGTCTTTGCTTTTAAGATTGAATCTTTAAGCAAGAATATTGACCAAAATACTAATCATTAGAATTACAATATGAAAAAAGTAGATCGTAGAATTTAAAAGGCCAGCCGAAGCCCAGCTTCGCATTGTCATTCTTACCG